TGCTGAGGCCAAAGCTATTTTACTAACTGACCTTGGACTCTGCTGACCTCCAGAGGGAGCCCTGTGACAGCCACAGCTGAGGCTTCTGCAAAAAAGGGCCAAAATTAGTTCGAACTGCCAAGGCAATGTTTATGGAGTGAGGCAACATTTCTGATAAGCAAGACCAAAATGTTGGTCTGCAGCAAATTGAGGATCAATGGCAGCAATTCAGACAGTGATCCCCCTTGATGAGTAAGCATTAGGTGCTAGGCCAGTGTAGCCTCCTGAATCCACGGAGCAAGTGTTCAAGCAAAACTACCTCTAATATAACGATTTGCATCTCCTATGTTTTACAAATAGCAGTTATGGGAATTCAGCCAACTGTGCTATCTGGGAAACTCTTAGAGTTAAAACATACAGCAACTTAAAACTTAGGGTCACACAGCTCTAGGCAGCCATGAAAGCCCACCTTGATGGTGCTTTATGATATGTATGTCATATAAGCCACAGTGAGATCCTGAAACTCAGCAATCTCATCCACGATGTCTGGTGCAAGGAAGAGTAACTTAGGGAAAAAAATCTCCCACTGGATGATATAAAGGAAGAGAGGATCTGTTATTTAAAATCAATAGTAAATCTAAACTAAAGTCTTAACTCTAGTTCATCAGTCTTGAGCTACAGTGACCATTTAATAATTACCAAGTGCTTTGGGCATCTGAGTGAAACTCCGGCCAGGGCCTCATGGTTTTCATGTTTGCATTCTGTTGAGGGTCTTTCATCCTGTTCCTTGAGGATATGAGTGAGAGATGCAATACTCCTGCTCTTTATTTGTATAACCCTTGTCATTCAAAGCAGTCTGAAGACCTTCAAAGAGTAGATATACTTGTAGACTAGATTTCATAAATACTTTTGAAATACAGCAGATTATTATTTAATCAAGTAAATCACTTGTGTATACTAATGTAAAAGTATGTGTTCCTGCTTTTTAAACAGGATTCCACTGAAAAAAGGAAATTCTCCTATAAACTTAGTACCATTTCTGCTATTCAACCAAATACTATGCTTTCTGAGCAATACATTCTAATAATAAAATAGCAAGTTTCCAATATCCACCCCAAAGCCTCAGCTGATAAGATCGATTGTCTATCGATGGCACCCCATTCCACTGCCCTCTTGTGAGTACAAAGACACAGGTTAAGCAGAGAGAATGTAGGAGGGAAGGAGGAGCCCAGACCAGGGAAACTAGTGGAATCTTTTTGGCACCACAGAAAGTTGATGAGGGAAGAAGCTTGACTTTCATAGGATTCTAATTAATTTTTAGTCAAATTGCAAGTAAAAATGGCAAAATATTGTTTCTTAACACAACCAGACTTCACCTTCTGCATTCTGACTTCGCTTTTATTTACAAGTAGAAAACAAAGTACAATATGTACACCATGAACTACTAACTTGGTGGTGTTTCTGAAAAGTAAGGGCCATGGTTTATTACAGCTGATACTTACAATGGCTGATACATTGAATGTTATTTTATACGCTGTTGTAACACCGGCTCATTCCCTGAGCAGAAGTGGGACTCAACGTGCAGTGTAAGGCCTCGGCAGTCTCCTTGATTCAAGTGATCAGTCACAGGGCCACTGTCCAGAAATGACTTGATGCACAACCGTGGGACATAGAGGAACCAGGCAGCCAGCCTTCCCTGGAATCACCCCCAAGCCCTTACACTGTGGCTCTGGAAACTACTTCAGGATTAGTGCTCCTAGCGTTTAGGGAGTGCCTGTTTAGTTCCATCAGCCCTTGGAAAGATATAATGAATGAAATGTTGCAGCAAACCCAGATCTGTTTAAGCAGGTTATGCTTGTTTACCTCAACAAGAGGACTTTTAAAATATACAGGATTCCATATTTAAAAGTCAAAGTTAGAGCAACAGAGAGTAGAGTGATGGTTACCAGGGATTTCATGGTGGGAGAAATGGGGAATTATAAGATTGGCCAAAGTGTACAAACTTTCAGTTATAAGATTAACAAATTTAAGGATTGAATATACAGAATGATGGCTGTAGCTAATAATACTGTGCCATATATGTGAATGTTGCTAAGAGAGGAGTTCTTAAACATTCTTACCAAAAAAAAAAAAAAAAAAGAAATGGTAACTATATGACAGGATGGGGATAGTAGTTAATGTTATGGCAGTGAGCATCTTGCAATAGAAATGTATCAGATCAATATGTATGCCTTAAACTTACTCAACATTATATGTCAGTTATATATATCAATAAACCTTGGGGGGGTTAAGTTAAAAAAAAGAGAAAAAAGATATACATACATATATATATTTCAGACCCCACCCCAGGCCTCAGACTGTGCAGTTGGGACTCAGGAATCTCTGTCTTTACTACGTTCCCAGGGTAATTATGGCACTCAGCCAGGCTTGAGCATTGAGATTTTCAAATACACTCCCAAATCCGACTCAGATTTTCAGTTTTAAATCTCTCTCTTTCTCCTCAGTCTCTAGCCAAAGATGAAGCAGTAAAACCTTCCCTTTCCCAGGTCTTCATATACACAGAGTGAGTGTTGAATAACTTCTCTCGTTGCTTACCAAACATTCGCTTCATTTGACAATGGAAGACAAATCCAAGAGGTATTAAGTGCCTGGTTCAAGGTTTCACAGTGCAGTAATGGCATGGCCAGGGCTAGAAAGCTGGCTCTTTTAGCCTCTATGGTCTGTACCATTCCTTTTCCTCTCTTTTGTCCCCAGTTTTACATCCATGCATAAGAAGAATGGAGCCATCTAGGGGACTTCCTTGAAAAATCAGGCACAAATTAGGGTAAATGTAGATAGTAATCCTTAAGCAACATTTTTTTTTTCCTTAGAGAGGAATGTACAGAGTGAAAAAGACTTAAGAGTCAGATCAACCAGATACAATGCGTGGACCTTTGGATCCCAATTTGAACAAAATGAAAAAAATTTAAAAAAAAGATTGAGACATCAGGAAAACACCACCACCTGGATATTTAATTACATTACAGGAATAATGTTTAATGATTTAAAAAGGGACAATTTTATTGCGGTCCTAGTTTTCAAAGTCCGTGTAATTTAGAAATACATTTGCAGCATTTATGAAAGCAATAGTGTCTGGAATGCTTTAAATCCAATGGTGAAGTGAGGGGGAAAGTGGCTGTGATGAAACACAGATTGAAACCAGATTGTCCCAGGACTTGATGATGATTGAATCCAAGCAATGGGTGCGTACGGCTTATTATGTTATTCTCTCTGCCTATTCATAGATATAAATTGTCATTATAAAACATTTTTAATTCATTTCTCTCAAGGGCTGGCTTACAGTTTTGCAGGTTATTTGATTTCCCTACACAATAATAGGCTCATTAGTGAGGTCCGCAACGTGATAGAATATTGATAGCTTCATCCCATTCAGCAAGAAGATGCCTCGGCCTTCCACCATGACCACTGGGAAGCAGGAGCTAAATGCCGACATTTAAAGCAGAAACCACGCTTCTCTAGTAACAGGAATCTCTTGCAAAGTAGCTACATCCTTCTGTATCCTGTTACACTGTGAGGGACCTAAAACTGCTATAGAGAGACTACTAGAATAATAAAAGCAGTTTAATAAATTGAAAAGTATTTCTGAAAGAGCAATCACATATTTCGTAAGGGGTCTCGTAGCTCAGAGTATGCTTGGGAAATCATTAGTGCCTCAGAATAAAATGAAGATGCCTGCCCAGCTGGGCTAGGAGGTAAATTTCTAGTTAGGGTGTCAAGTTCAGCACCGATTTCCAAACATGCACAGGAAGCTGCAGGGTCCAGACATCAGGCTAACAGGCTCTGCCTTTCTCCTTTCTCCTAGCCCAACGCCTCCTTTCCGAGTCTACAGAGAGCTGTGAATCTTGAAGGGCAGGATCTACAGGATTCATTACGACTCCAGAGGTAGCAAGCTCCCAAGTTAAATGAAAGGGTTTGGGGATTGCTTTAAAACATTAATGCATGTGCCATTATTTCAGTGAAATCCGGACTCTTTTTAGTATTTCAGTGAGATATGCTTTTTCAACACACAAAACCAAAACAAAACACTGGAAATAGCTTTGTCTTATGACCCAGAAGTAGCCTTAGAGAACCTAAGGGCAAACAGAGATAGATGTCTGCAAAGATAAGGTGGTGTGCGTTTATTTTGCTTGCAGAACTCCAAATAGTTACCTTGGCAGGCGGCTGCCCATCCCTGCAGGCGGGGGCTGACGGCCCGGGAAGCCCTGCAGTACATTTCCATGAGCTCATTATCAGTTCCAGTTTCACTCTCCAGGCTTCACACGTGCAAACGCAGACCGTCGCGGCCGGCGTAAGCCCCGCGCTGCGCTGCTCTTTAATTGCAAAGCAGCAGGAGTCACATGTGCGGGCATCTCTGAGGCCCTGCGTGGCCACTGCTTGTCCAGGCAGCTCCTCTGGCACGGGTTCGGGTCCTGCCCCTTCATGCTAATGGGCCGGCCCCCCGCCCCGCCCCCGCAGCCTCCTTAAGAGCTGCTCCCTGCCAGCTGCCCCAGGGCCGCTCAGGCCGGCTCAGAGGCCACCTGACTGCACTCACGGCAGCTCCTCCTTCCCTCGTGTGTAATCACTCTAGGAGGCCCCTCCAAAGACACCGGGCCTTTGATTGCACATCAGCAGAAGGCATCAAAAAGGGCCGAAGCGGTAACCTGTTAGAAACAGTTACTGTGTAGGGTTTTTACACTAGAAGGGGGAAATTTGCAATATGCTTTGACATGAAAGAAGCATTTTGTGGTTTTTATACAAATGCACTGGCATCTTCATACGGAGGGGCAGTGATAGTGGGGGATGTTTGTTTCAAGAGTCGTGACGGGGGAACACTTGGAAATTTGTTAGAGGAGTAGATGTTTCACGCACAAGGACAGGATCTGCTGGCGTGTCTGTGGGCCTGGGGGTCTTGTGAAGACCATTTCAGGTGACTGGCCTGGAGAAGGGGATGCCCTAGTGATAGTGGGGCCATAGGGATTCTGCCAGCGCCATGGCTGCCAGGCAGAGAGAAGGCGGCAGCCACCTGCTCGACGGCCTGCGCGCCTGTGGACTGAAGCTTCCGGAGGACCCGCGACAGCGAGGTGAGTGAGCCAGGCTAAGGGTGGCGCGTTCCGTGAGCCCCTGGCCCTTTGTATTCCCCGACGAATGGGGGGCTGGGAAGTACCTGGGGAATCTCTGCTTAGAAAATGCGTGGCAATCTTCCATTTTTAAACTCTGAGAATAGTCACGATGGTGATGCATAAGGTCAGGTTAACTTGGATTCACTCTTGGTTTTTAAGGGACTTAAGAAGACTCTCAAAGAGGCATATTTCTTGGAGTTGTCATTCTGAAGCTTATGCGCTTAAATGCCCAGCCACCGTCGTTTTTCTAGTGGATGCCAGATTGTGTGTAATTGAAAACACCCATCAGGGCAAGACTGAACCAGCTGCAGGGGGCATTTGCTGAGAGTAGTTGTAAGTTGNATGCGCTTAAATGCCCAGCCACCGTCGTTTTTCTAGTGGATGCCAGATTGTGTGTAATTGAAAACACCCATCAGGGCAAGACTGAACCAGCTGCAGGGGGCATTTGCCTGGGACTCTCTCCCCTGTCCTACCACTAATCCTGCACTTTTGACTTAGAGTTTAAATTTAATTTTGTCTGGATCTCTGCCTTATTCATTTGTGGGCAAAAGAAATATATTCTTGGCTTTTTCCCTTTTACAGTCCAGGAACAGCTGGAGTCAGACAGGGGAAAGCATCGCGTTTCACATGTTGGGCACTCATTCAGGCTAAGCCACCTACCTTGCAGCCATCTTCACCCTCAGGCTTTTTAAAATTTCAAGTCCACTGTCCAGCCAGTTAATGGCAGGTGCTTAACATGAACAGATAAGATGATCTCCCCAATCCCTACTGTCTGGGACAGCAAAGGACGCTTGGAGAAAAGTCTGGGTACTGTCAGATGACATCATTGCCCCCAGAGATTAAAGATTGACCCCAGACATTTATAACTTCTCCTCAATAACCTGTGATGGACCTGTCTATGGATGAAACTAGGCCACGAGCTCTTTATTTATTTTTCCATAGACACAGCTTGAGATTTCAGTGACATGGAGTGTTGGCTAAAGGACTGAAACCTCCCCTTTCCCAGGTGGCATCTGTGCCCTAACATTTGTTGACTGTGTCGGGCCACCTCCCTGAATGTGGATTGCATGCAAGGCTTAGCATAGTGGGGGTAGAAAATACTTCATATTAAATGGTAACAGAGAAAACTTTTAAGACCATTCTATGCCATCAGGGCTCATGTAAATTATTTTGAACTAAGTGCTTTAAAATGTAAAGTCCTGGTATTGGTACATGCCAGGGTTTAACCATAGCACTAAAATATTCTTGCTCCCCATCAGCAGACAATCCTAATTCAGCACAGGGTTTTTGTTTACTGCTCATTTTGTTTGAAATGTTTAAAGCTACCTCCCTACCCCCCC